AATATAGTCGTTTATACTGAGCTTGTATACAAACTCCCATCTCTCCCCACACAACACTCCAGACTTGTATTTTGCATATAACAGGTACTTCGATGACGAGAATATAAACTGGTATATAAACTGGTATATAAACTGGTGTATAAACTGGTATATAAACTGGTATATAAACTCCTTTTTTTTTAGGATCACACTAGTGACCTGCAGTCCGCCTTGATGGTTTTCGACATGCACGACGGTCCCAACTTCAGGATCTCTTTCCCGTCAACGATGAAGAATACAACGTCGTCCTTTGTAACAGGTGCCTTGTGCTGCACCTGACGTTCGAGGCTGTCCTTCTTTCGCTGTTTCAGCACTCCGTCTGTCAAGCGCAGCACTCGACATGTGCGGCTGAAGAGCCCCGCGTGCCGCTCCTCCTGCGTTTTTGCATCGACATAGAATGCAGATAGCAGGGGCGACGGAACTTCACTACTGATGGTTTTCCAATCGATGTTCTCCTTTCCGCGTCCTTCGCAGAGCGGACGGAACATGCGCAGCCATAATCCGTGGCACTGCCAGTGTTCTTGGAAACTGCTGCTTGAATAATGGCATCGTGATTCGTGGTCGTCGTCAGAAGAACTAAAGAAACGTTTGGGAGTCGATTCAACAGGCTCGTGCTGATTCATTTTACTCTTACTTTGGAAAGGAGACGAACTCTATGTCTCTAATGAGCAAACGGTTCTTTTACAGAGCCCGCGGTGAGATCTGCGCGCGGTAACGGTCACTAGCACTGTGACTCAGTGCAAGTGTGAGGTTCAAACTACTTACTTGGCGCATAGCTGTTACTTCCGATGTAACTAGTACTTCAGTACTAAACTGAAGTCACAAAGAGTGTGTGATGGCACTGCACTGCATGTACTGCACAGAGTCGTGGTAGTCTTGTACTTGATCCGCACAGGTTGGTGAAAGGAAGACTCGTCGAGCCATGGTTGTGGGTTGGAATTCCAATCTCTACCCTTGTGGGGGAGAGGGGAGGTTGTATATCAGCTCAGTATAAGCATAATATAACCTACTCAGTTGATTATATGGGAAATATAAACCAATATACAAACCTCGGCTTCGCCTCGGTTTGTATACAGGTTTATATTTCCCATATAATCAGCTGGTTAGGTTATATTATATACGTACAATCATGTATGTCCGCGGATTTTGACACGCCGTAATAATTAAATTTTAAACTAATAAAGAATGGTACTTGCGTGATATAACGCAGAACGAGCAAGGCAGACTCAAACACAAGTAATATTTTTCATGCCAATCTTGCTACAACGGAGACTAATTTCAACTGATCCACCATACAAGCAGCACTCGCTTTGTGTTTTTGGAGAGGATGGGTGACCAGATTACGGAGTCAGAAGTGGACATCGTCGACGATGCAGAGACGAAAGTATAATGAAGATGGAAATGAAAATATGTGCATCTCCAAGAAGGTACTGAGTACATCAAGCACCTTCGTGTGTGTAGCTCTGTCTTTCTTGTGGAAGACTCCACAGAAAATAATTATGTCCAGCTTGTTGAAACTGAAACTGTGTCTCAGTTCAAGTCGTTCAGGGAAGACATCTATTCAAGACATCATTGATCCATTCTCAAGAACCATCATAAGAAAATAAATCAAGTCATGTTAGCGATAAGAATGGCGAACTAGACCAGAGAAGTGCGAGTGTCTTGTTTTGACTGCAGGAAACTGTATTTCAATATTGTGGCTTAACGTAGTGCTTACGCAGTTTACTGCTTCGAACAAATCTCCGTTCCTACTCCCAAAATACCTGTAAAATTTATTGATGTAACATTATGGCACATGGTCTTTCTCGTTGTGCTGCTATAACGTGTATTATAATATTTGCAATTGTACATGCATACGAGCACGTGTACCGTTTACTGTCTCCTTGTCAGTGTTTTTGGGCGATCCTCCACACCTTCATTTGTCCATGACGTATTTTCCTTCTACTTATTAATTTTATAGAAATATTCACTCACTACAGCTTCTTGTGATTGCTGGTGCGAATGTAGCCTACTATGCCTGCTTGTTAGTGAGAGTGCACCAGACATGTATAGATATGTATGTCTAACGAGGTGTTCTTGAACTGGCATGCGGCTTTCACAAGAACTTTGGTTAGATAAGGTTTAGAATTGGGTGCTCAATGACCTGGAGGAAATGTCTGCAATCAGTATCACCAAGATACATTTCTTCCGTCTACGCATCTCTTCTTGGCTTGTGGATTGGTTGAAAAGAGATAAGATAATAATACAGAAATACCTATATTCTGTCTGTGACTACTCACAGAGAAAGAGTGGTCGCAACTGTACATTCCGAATGTATCCGTTCGCATGGAATTATAGTGGTCACAACTGTATTCTGTGATTGCGCATAGCATAGAGAGTTATAGTTTCTACAACAAATCCTGCAGTACGAAGCACTCCGCGAGCAGTCACGAACTGTGTGCTTTACACATGTACCGGTACATGTATGGTGATTGATGACTGGTCATGGGGCACTGTGACTGGTCATGGGGCACTGTGACTGGTCATGGGGCACTGTGACTGGTCATGGGGCACTATAACTGGTCATGGGGCACTGTGACTAGTCATGGGGCACTGTGACTGGTCATGGGGCACTGCGACTGGTCATGGGGCACTGTCACTGGTCATGGGGCACTGTGACTGGTCATGGTGCACTGTGACTGGTCATGGGGCACTGTGACTGGTCATGGGGCACTGTGACTGGTCATGGGGCACTGTGACTGGCGATGGGGCACTGTGACTGGCGATGGGGCACTGTGACTTGTCATGGGGCACTGTGACTGGTCATGGGGCACTGTGACTGGTGATGGGGCACTGTGACTGGTGATGGGGCACTGTGACTGGTCAAGGGGCACTGTCACTGGTCATGGGGCACTGTGACTGGTCATGGGCACTGTGACTGGTCATGGTGCACTGTGACTGGCCATGGGGCACTGTGACTGGTCATGGGGCACTGTGACTGGTCATGGGCACTGTGACTGGTCATGGGGCACTGTGACTGATCATGGGGCACTGTAACTGGTCATGGGGCACTGTGACTGGTCATGGGGCACTGTGACTGGTCATGGTACACTGTGACTGGTCATGGGGCACTGTGACTGGTCATGGGGCACTGTGACTGGTCATGGGGCACTGTGACTGGCGATGCGGCACTGTGACTGGCGATGGGGCACTGTGACTTGTCATGTGGCACTGTGACTGGTGATGGGGCACTGTGACTGGTGATGGGGCACTGTGACTGGTGATGGGGCACTGTGACTGGTAATGGGGCACTGTGACTGGTCATGGGGCAATGTGACTGGTCATGGGGCACTGTGACTGGTCATGGGGCACTGTGACTGGTCATGGTGCACTGTGACTGGTCATGGTGCACTGTGACTGGTCATGGGCACTGTGACTGGTCATGGGGCACTGTGACTGGTCATGGGGAACTGTAACTGGTCATGGGGCACTGTGACTGGTCATGGGGCACTGTGACTGGTCATGGGGCACTGTGACTGGTCATGGGGCACTGTGACTTGTCATGGGGCACTGTGACTGGTCATGGGGCACTGTGACTGGTCATGGAGCACTGTGACTGGTCATGGGGCACTGTGACTGGTCATGGGGCACTGTGACTGGTCATGGGGCACTGTAACTGGTCATGGGGCACAGTGACTGGTTATGGGGCACTGTGACTAGTCATGGAGCACTGTGACTGGTCATGGGGCACTGTGACTGGTCATGGGGCACGGTGACTGGTCATGGGGCACTGTGACTGGTAAACTAATGTGTGATTGGTCACGGGGACCGTGACTGGTCATGGGACCGTGATTGGTCACGGGGACCGTGACTGGTCATGGGACCGTGATTGGTCATGGGACCGTGATTGGTCACGGGGACCGTGACTGGTCATGGGACCGTGATTGGTCATGGGACCGTGATTGGTCACGGGGACCGTGATTGGTCACTGAATCCTACATAATACTTCTTCACCGAAGGATGTACCCAGAGTGCTGACAGTGCTCAACACCACAAAGGCAGAGCGTAATACACAACAGAACAACAAGGACAATCAAGGCTTGTTTGCTGCTACTTTAAGTTTCATGCTTACGCAATCATCAGGCAACATGAAGATCGGGTGCTGACCACGCCGGTATATATGCCAGGAGAGGGTGGTATAAAAAGCTGTGTGAGACTGTGGGGGCTAGCGCAGTAGCGGTGATGTTTTAGGCAGGGGGCTGTGTGCAGAGTGTGTGGTTGTTGAAGGCAGGGCAGGGCTAGCAGTGCAGTGTGAGCGCGAAGTGTGTGGCTGGTGAGGGCAGGAGGTGGTGAACAATGCATGTGGATGTTGTAGGCAGGAGGCTGTAGAGCTAGCAGTGTGATAATAGCGCAATGTAAATGGATATGTCTGGTGTGGGCAGGGTGTTATGAGCAAGGTGTGTGAACGTGAATGGTGTGGGCAGGAGGCTGTGGAGACATGTTTAGGTGACACCGTGGTTTTTTAGGAGATACTTGTTTTCGTGTCGGCACTTGGACACCATTTCGGAGCGCTTGTTGAGGCTGGACGGTGACCCTAGCGTGTTCAGGATGTGATACTTTTCTCTGGTACAGAGGGAACACCGCTTCGTGATGTTGGAGTATGCCCGGGCGCGATCTTTTATCCTCCATTCGACTTCGTATTGGGCGTTGGATTTCTTCAGCTTCCAGATGTAGTTGGAGAACTCAGTGCAGCTGGAGTACTTCTCTCTCTTCACAGCTTTTTATACCACCCTCTCCTGGCATATATACCGGCATGGTCGGCAGCCGATCTTCATGTTGCCTGATGATTGCGTAAGCATGAAACTTAAAGTAGCAGCAAACAAGCCTTGATTGTCCTTGTTGTTCTGTTGTGTAATACTTCTTCACAGATATCAGTGGAATTGCATCTACGATAGGCACTATGTGTTGTAAGAATGCTCTTTTCGATCAATGGAAAACCAACTGTTCTAGCTGATTGCAGCGACATTTATCAACAACAGTATCGATTTGTGATAACAAACTTGGAGGCAAAATGTAACAGTGCGAAGCGAAAATACTCCTTCACAAGATATCAGTGGAAATGCATTTACGATAGGCACTATGACTGTGTTGTTAGAATGCTCACTCCAGTATCAATGAAAAATCAAAATTAATATCTTCAAGCTGAATGCAGCGACATTGACAATACATCCAAAGGCATGAAAACCTGATGGACCACCAGGAGAGGTAAACCGTCATAATAGACAAACCTGAAATCGTGCATGCTTCAATTCAATCAATGCTAAGTTTCCTTATCAATATTTCCTACCAATATGTCCTTAGACCAAGATTAGCTTCATGCAAGTAGCATCACAGTACTAGAGAAGTACCAACACGAAGTGAAATAATGGCATCAGGTGACATCGTGTGAAATGCGTACTGATTATTACCTCTTACAGTCATGCATAATAATTGTGTATATGTGTGTTGACATATGCATGCATGTGTATGCGTGGTGTAACACTACAGGAATGCTAACAATGACTGGAACTGGTCGTCAGGTTTTTCCACTTGCCAAGGCTTGTAGAAAACTTTCCCACTGTTCCGGTACTGCAAACAAAATGAAAACAACACATTGCCCTTGTCTCAATGCAAGTTAGTATTGCTGTCTTTTATAGGATCCTGATGAAGCACTCGTTTCAAGGGCAGCTCCTCCAGCAGTACTTTAAGGGACTGAGCTACTGTTCCAGTTTGCATGTTATTTTGTTTACTGTACTCCATTATGAATGTTCAGTATCTAGTGGCATAAATCCTGTCATAAACTTAAACTGCCGCATGCCAGTTCATATTTTTCATTTATGCTAGGGTGGTCCGTTATTTTCGGGAAAACTCCGTCTCCATGCAAAAACAGTCGGTAGCTGGTCAGGATTGTTTTGCATTAATTTTATTCTTACACCTGGCGCACTATGTTCAGTAGTGTAGGATGGATTGTTGCAAATAGCAGTCATTCACTATGACGTAGGACACGCATGGACCGTAGACCAATTGACCTACTTGTACCCCACACACAGACGTGAAGTCATATGTTTACATGTATATACTTGTGGAAAGTAAAAGGACATATGGATACAAGTTAAGAGCAACTCACCATCACTGTAACCGGATACTATATACAGTCAGAAAGTGCAATAACTAGGCACAAAAATGACAGAGTACTGAGACATTCTCGTAACTCGTATCCATAATTATGTCCTTTTCCTTTCTACATTTATTAATGGCTCAACATCTGAGTTTCAAAATGTATATACGTATAAGTATTTAAAAATGGACGCAGCTCTTTGCCAGTTTTTCTTTTCTTTTCTAATTGGTACATGTATGGGGAAAATACAAACAAATAATGAGGAAAACGGGGGGGGGGGTGGTCAGTGGGCCACAGACAACTTCACACAAGGAAGGATTTTAAGGTAGCTTGGTTGGGTGTCACAAACTGGTCTTCTCACCATCCCTTGCACAGATCATGAGTGGAAATATTATGACTTTCTGCTGCTGATGGGTTCGGGCCCCTCACTTGCGACTTTTCTTCTTATAATTATGTTGTCTTTTTGAATGATATACCACATTTCCGAATTGAACTCATGTTCTATAGCAGAAATTTGCGCAAATCTCCCCTAGAACCTTTTCTCTTTCCTGCTGAGCAAGGGTGTGACTTGACATACAAGAAGCTGCAAAACAGCCACATCGTCGGGCCATTTTTGTTATTTCACCATTCTCACAATGTCTTTTTTTGCCAACACGTATTGGAAAATCTATGGAAAATTGCAGCGGGAGGTAGTTGTGAAATTTGTTGTGTAGAGATGTTAATCTATACTGGTGGCCTATCTGCATGAACTAGAGCATGATATTGGTCTATGTAAACCTATCTAACAAAGTAGACCCTATAGACAAAATTACACAACATTTCCCTAAAATCTCATAATCTGATATTTTTCATAGCGGCATACGGGAAAAAAAATCACGGTTCGCGTGAGACTTGGCTAGAGGCCGAGTTGTCTGCATCCGCAGGAACGCCACCACCCTCAAGGATCAAGGCACAGATGCAGCTCCTAAAGCGATGACCTGAGAAGATCAGTGCTACCACCACATTATCGCTCTTTCTTCTTCTTTTCTCTTCCTCTCTCTCTGTCTTTCTGGGTTTCTTCCCCCCCCCCCCTCTGTCTCTCTCTTTCTCTCTCTCTCTGTCTCTCTTTCTCTTTCCCTCTCTCTCTTTCTCTCTCTCTCTCTCTTGTCTTTTTCTGTCTGTCTTTCTGTCTGTCTGTCTGTCTGTCTGTCTGTCCGTCTGTCCGTCTGTCCGTCCATCTGTCCGTCCGTCCGTCCGTCTGTCTGTCCAGCCGTCCGTCCATCTGTCTCTCTCTCTCTCTCTCTCTCTCTCTGTCTCCGCCTGTCTCTGTCTCCCTATCTATATACCGTATGTCAGTGCCTTTAAAGCCATGGCCTTATATTCGAAACACCGCTGCTTTCCTAGCTATTTTAGATATAAACGACCCACCTACTACGCCACGCCATAAAAGTCAAAGTCCACACAGAAATCTCAATCTAAACCCGCTTGATCGCGCTTCCTGCTGGGCTGTAAGTATGTTAGTATAATACTTATTCCTTCATTTTTACAAAACCTATTTCCAATGTCATTTTATTTATGAAGCCCGTGGCTTTATAACTGAGACTGGCTTTATAAACGAAAATACCTCCATGGCTTTAAAGGTGCGGACATACGGTATGAGCATGACGCCTCTATCTGGATAATACAATTACAAATACACGATGTAGAGTGGCAAATGAGGTGCATTATTCCCTGCAATGACCCCTTTTGACGAAGCTGTCTGGAACTTTAATACAGTTGTACATAGAAAACATGCTGCATGAATTGTTCAGATGTACTCTCTCATAAACTCATGGGTTTTCTTACCTCCAGTTGGAGTCATAAGTATTCATCTCTGTCATAGAAATATGTTTCCTACAGGACATATTGATCAAGTACACGGAAAATGACGAAACTGGAACTGAATAAAACTGGAAGAGAAATACTATAGTTTGGCACCAGAATAATGGCATGTGAGTAACACAATTATCTGAAAACTCCAATATAGCGCAATAGTAATGACATGGGGCGAGATGGTGGTTGAAGCACACCTGGCGGTTAACACATACAAGCCTACACAACGCTCTCTAAACTGAAAAGGTATGCTAGTAAGGGGATATAATTATATTTGTACCTGCAGGCATGAGAGAGGCTTTTAAACTTTAAATTGTTTATCATTGACTCTCAGAGACAGGGGCACTATTTGAGACAGGTGCACTATTCGAGACAGGGGCACAATCCAAGAGAGGTCACTATTCGCGATAGGGGCACTATTCGAGACAGGGGCACAATTCGAGAAATGTCACTCTTTGTGAGAGGGCACTCCTCGACAGATGGCTGTAAACGCGAGAGTACTGTAAGAGCCATTGCACATCACAGCTCCAATGAGAACAAAATTGAGCTAAGAAAGTGGATGACGCGTGCAGGTATATCACCACCATCGCAGATTCAGCATGGCGGACTGCACAGCAGACCACTGACTGTGCTCAAATCTCATGAATGACTTTTAATTGCTGCAAAGGTTAACCTTTATCCACCTAACGTTCCCATGCTAAAGAGACATAGTGAAGTACTGCAACTTGCACTTACCCCAATCCAGGAGAATCTTTCCTAGGCAGAGTGAAAACAATGCCTCAAATCAATACAATCACTAGCAAGCTGGCCATGACTGCCATTGCCCCACCGCTCACCCTGGACTTTCCACTAGGAATAGCCACTTCTCCAGACAAACAAAGTCAAAAGAAGGACACCAAACCAGAACACGCACACACACACACACACACACACACACACACACACACATACCAATGCATGCGCGCACACACACATACACACACACACACGTACACATGCACACACGTACACATGCACACACGTACATATGCACACACGTACATATGCACACACACACACACACACACACACATCAATAGGCATGGGTGAATACAAATTACGAAAACCCTTCTGCACATGGTCATTTCTAATACTGCAACAGATTGACATCAATGGCAAGAGTGGGAGTATGTACTCTTGCCATTAAAAAAAAATAATAATTATGCATACCCATTTTCAGCTGACTTGCCGTATGGCCCTATGGGTCATAAGTTAGGGTGGCTCACACCCTCTGCGCGCGCATCGTTTGAAAAGTGTAGATTTTCAGTAAATTTTTCGGTAGCGATGATTTTTGTGCGATCAATCGTTGTTGAACGTCTTCTCGCTTTTCTGCAATTCTGGCGACCTAGCTAGAACCTGCTGCTAGTGTCCCTCTTCACTCGTTCTTTCTATGAAAGGGGAAGGTAGCACTCGCAGAAGATTTTCCAAGAATGCAATGTCGACTGGTGCTTGTACCATAAGAAGGGAGAAATCAAAGTCCGCTCTTGAATCATCGCGGCCTGAGTATTAGAAAATTATTATTTCAGAACACGCTTGTGTAGATTTCCTGCCAGTGCCACTGACATCTCGCGACCTTCAAATATTGTAACTTGCTCGATCATCTCCCGCACTGACTGGCAAATTCGTCAGGTAGCTGTGGATGGATCGATTCAGGGAGATCGAAGGTAAATACATCGAAGCACTTCAAACACGTTTCAAGACGCACTTCAAATTTTGTAATTGTGTCTTGAAAATTGTTTAGAACAATTCCACGGTACTTCAATACGCTGTTGAATTGTATCCTCTTCTTGGGAGTCTCGACTGTTTTATTGCTGCATGGCTTTCCTCAACAACGTTCACTGTACATGTATCGCGGAACGCAGATTGGATGGCATTGGGGGTGAATTTGATAATTTGTGACTGTGTTCCAAGTGAGGACATCAAATATCAACAGGGACGCTCCGAAAATCACAAACGCTGCGAAATAGATATAAAATGGTCTTACACACTGGAGGGTATTCCACATTCATTGTGTCATATCTTTAGACTGTCCGAAAGTTTGTCGTGCCGTGCAACTTTCACAGACTAATCCGATAATTGGCATGTGGCCCTACTGGCACACACTCATGCGTATGCCGTTGAGTTTATCTATATGTGCACGCACATGTGTGTATACATATGCAATTTTATTACGTGTGCAAAATTAGGCAATCTACATGTACATGTGTGTGCACACACTCCTATGACGTAGAACGACAGTGCAGGCTATGTAAAGTCGCATCAATGTGTGTCACCCGGATGTGTACATGCATGCGCGCTCGCGCGGGCGTTTTGTGTGCGCGCCTGGCATGGCATAACGCCGTTCAGTATGACAAGTGTTGAACCGCGGTAATTTGCCCCCACCCCCTCTTCTTTCTGCTGGCGTTGGATATGCAACTAATGACATAAACTCGGTTGTTGAAAATGAGTGCCATGCACCACAATGGATGGACAATAATAGAATACAAGTAGCACTGTAAAAGCGCTGGTAATACTTATGTTGCAGCCATGGCAGTTGTGATTAGCTTTCCAAGTCAAGCCTGCTGCAGAAATTAATGCACTCTGACCAGCTGGAGTGGCCCAGGACTGCCGGTTGTGGAGAACAGGAGTGATGCTTGTATATACGCTTGTATCTACATGATGTAAACAGTGTACTTCGAAGTAACGTTAGGTGTATTACTTGTGTGTTCTTCTGCCTGTGCACGTGTACATGTGCTGGTCAGTGTGGAACCGCCATCCATATCAGATCATACAGCTGCTATCAGTCTCAACAGCTTGTATCTGGCAAATACGGTTTTTGTGACTCGATTTTGCTTACTGTGTTCAACAGAGTGGCATTGCACACAGCTACTTGATGTAATAGTAGCATCTTGGAAATTTTATATTTTTAATACAGTGGTCCCTCTATAATCCGGCACCATTTGTGCCACGGAAATCTGCTGGATTAGGGAGGGTGCTGGATTAACAAATCTTATCTACTATTGTAATGTGCATGAAGAGGACATTTTGGCTACTGAAAATTGTGCTGGTTTATCGAGGGTGCTGGTATATAAGGTGCTGAATTAGAGAGGGACGACTGTAGTTAGCTTCTGTAGAAACTTCTCCAGGGTGGCTCTTAGCTTCATTACCACGGAGACTAAGCATTCAAGTAATGCACGAAGAACAGTGGCTAGATCTGAAGTGAAAAGCCATTGGACCGTACCCCGTGGAATACGCATTTAGTATAGAAGTATTTCTTGCTATGGTGGCAGCAAACACTGTATAATATAATAATTACATTACCAGTAGAAAATGCCCAATGTGCATTGCTTCAGCACTATGTTTTGGACAAAGCAGTCAACAAATTCCACATCACTATCGGCTTCATGTTGGAGAAAGTTGTGAAAAACACTAGAGCATACATGTACACTCAATACACATGCTCAGCTACATGTATGGCATTTAGTATGTGGGCGACTTCAAAGTTCTATTTTGGTAGTTTGCTTCGGTAGAAACTGTCTAAACTTGATCCAAAGCTCTACTACTATGTTCTGAAGATGTTGCAATCAAGTAATGTAAGACACGTATCTGCCGCATTGGAGCTACACTTATACCTCGGTTATCCGGACCCCGAAGTTACGGGCACTTCAGTCTACCGGGCACTATTTGGGCGAGTTTCAGGGGAAATATTACTACTCTTTTGTCACTTTTCGTAGAAATATTGACGTCATATGCCATATCGATGGCCTTTTCCCCATCAAGATGTATATGATTCGGAGTTACGGACATTTCAAAGTTACGGGCAGTGCAAGGTCCCGGACTGCCCGGATAAACGAGGTATGAGTGTAGTTGTGAAAACCTTTAGACCATACACTCAATGCACATGCTCAGCTATGGCATTTAGTATGTGGGCGACTTCAAAGTTCTATTTTGGTAGTTAGCTTCGGTGGAAACTGCTAAAACTTGATCCAAAGCTCTACTACTATGTTCGGAAGATGTTGCAATCAATTATTGTAAGACACGTATCTGTCATATGGTGGAGTCAGGGGTTCTAAGGCGTTGGATAATGTCTCAGTGCAATGTGCTGATTCTTGAAATATGGCATCACTTGAAACTTCAAAGTTTTATTCCACGAGTTACCTTCGGTAGAACCTGCTCAAACTTGCTACACAGTACCATTATTAGGTTATGATAGCATATCCATCGAATACAGGGCAAGTCCAGTGTCAAATATTTGTGGGCGGGGCCAATATGTGGGACGTGTGCGCTGAAATGGGATGATTCCGAAAAGAGAAAAAAGGTCACCTTCTAGCAGAATTCTACCCACTTCTACAGCGTATGCTAATATTTAGCAAGTATACTACTGTCCTGATGTTGGACATCAAGAAAAAGGGGGTAACTACCAGTGATACGGCCAAAAAAGTGGTTTTCCGGTATTTTTTGGCCTAAAATGGCAATTGTGAGTATGCTATGTTTGGCCCCTCCCCTGAGTGAAACCGGCCGGTAGAACTTGATAAAAATTTGTCTCCGTACACTAGATATCCAACAGAACAAAGTACAATCGTTTGTAGCCACGTTTCAAACAAAAAAATTGGACCCGAGTTAAGTAGTGTAGGAATAACGCGAGTTTGCCTTCATCGTGACCGTCTTTCTCACCGTCATGAAAATATAGACACAGTAGAGTACAGAACAACAAGGATAATCAAGTCTCGTTTGCTGCGACTGCAAGTTTCATGCTCTCGCAATCATCAGGCAAGAGGGGGGGGGGGGGGGCTGATGATTGTGAGAGCATGACACTTGAAGTAGCAACAAACAAGCCTTGATTGTTCTTGTTGTTCTCTATTTCGCTCTGCCTCCGCAGTGTTTGGTACATCCTTTGGTGGCAGTGTAAAGTAAAAAAGAAGATTTTGTAGAATCTGGCCATTTATTACGTATACCGGTATTGTTGTTGTTGGTATACAATCACTTCTTCTCATTGTGGTGTGTTCATCTCTATCGGATGCACAACTGGGTATACAATCACTTCTTCTCATTGTGGTGTGTTCATCTCTATTGGATGCACAACTTCAGGCACAGTCGTTGAGAACCACACACGCAAACAACTCACATCCTAGGCATACTGAGCTTGACACACAACCAACACATGAATGCACTCAACAATGTCGACCTGTTGGGTACGGTGAGCCTGACAAAGAAATTGAAACCTTGATGCCAGTAGTGCCACTGCCTCCACCGTAGCCATCACCCACCTCTGCGTTAAGTGTGGACCTGTTGGGGTCTCCTACAATGGAGTCCTGGGACATGATGTACACGGACCTGATACTGAGCGCAGGAGACTGCAGAGGAGTTGACATGAGAAAGAGTTACGCTACTGTCCCTCATGTGTGTGAACGGCCTAGACGCTCAATGGCTACCTACACCTTCAACTACTATGAGGTTCCGGAGTACGATTTTTCGTGCAAACCTCCGTAGAGGTGCTACGGATCTTTTATACGTCGTTTTCGAGCAATGAAATGCTCCGGAGTACGGAACTTGTGTGTTTGCCGTCATTACCTAGGTTACGATCGCAAAAACGCCATATTTCCACGCTATGCCTTGTTATTTTGAACATTTGTACCGAAATTAAAACCTTCCTCCGAAAATCGATGTTTCTCGTACCAAATTTGTACTCGAAAAATCTTTCTGCATCCGATGACGCAAATCTCCCTTCAAAACATGGTTCGTATGAAAGCCAGTCCACACGGATTCATCGTGCCAAAAAATCGTATGGAGCATGCTTCGAAAAATCATTTTTGGTGGACACACACAAACACACAAACGTACGTGCGTGACACCCACAGCCACACACAGACACACGCACACACACAAACACAGTGAGTGTGTTCGATTACGCACTTGAATCGATTCATGAGCGGAATCTCGCCGTTCGATTTCATGTTATGAGCCCTGGAATCGATTCGGAATCCATTCACCCTATTCACAAGGGATGATGTGAATAGCACGACTCCATTCATGAATGGATTCATGAATCGATTCGCGTGCCCAATCGAACACACTGAGTGAATCACTATACACCATTGCTAACCTGCACAGGTAGTCCCATCAGCAGTGTATCCAGGATTGCAGATGCACGAATAACTTCCCAAAGTGTTGTTGCATTGTGACGATGTACTATCACACATGCTGTTACACTCATCGATATCTATAAGAGGAATAGATCAACACACATGGGTCAATCAACCAGGTACAAGTACTACTTCCTCAACTATTATTCCCATTCACAACAGGCAGGAGGAGTTCAGAATAAACTGTTTCAATGTATGTGAAGAATTGTGGCCTCAAATTCTTTACCTTGAATTTAACGTATCTTTAGTTTCCCTGGCACAATTGTCATCATCTTGGTCATCCTGGAAAGCCCCTAACGAGAACACGATGAGCTGAAACTCGAGTACACGAGATGTCCTTGACCAGTGCTGCAAGCCAGCAAAGGCGTTTCAGCGAAAGGCTCGCGCTCTAGATCGTTCTCCATCTGCTTTTTCACTTTCCTTGATCGTATGAAGCTGATTTTTTGAAGGCACTTGCAGGAAACTCTGTTCAAATTTGAATGAGTGTATCATTGCCAACAGCCGGCGAGTTCAGGGAAAATTCTGGCCGTTCAGTCGTGCATTGCAGGCCTGAGCGCCAATTGACAGTGATCAACGTTACGTGTGTAGTTACTCACTCACCGTTCATCCTATCGGTTCGGTAATTGTTCGAGACGACAGCTGAGTGTTTTTTCTTCTTCCTATATATTTTTCTCCCCAAACAACTGAGAATTGACCAAGTTACGGTTGTTTGAAATTATTACTTCGAAGTAGAAAAATGTAGAATTTATCGTTTGGTCCAAAGACTCTCAATATCGGGGATAGTTGGAAAAAGTCAAAATTGGAGTAAAATACACATTGAACGAGGGATCACTGCTTCTCAGAACAGAGCAGCGGATCCAAACTGCTAACCAGTGTACTAACCAGTGCAAGAAGGTGCAGTTCCATTATATATCTATTTTGACTGTTTTTGACGGGGGTGGGAGGGGGGGGGGGGGCAGTGTCAAATACATGCACGTTAAAGACAATCAAAAGAGTTGCACGCTTACCAATGCAGTTGGTTCCATTAAACCTGTATCCCATGTTACATGTACATGTAAAACTTCCCATAGTGTTCTGGCATTGAGAAATACTGCTGTCAGAACACTTGGTCAAACACTCATTCACGTCTGTAGCAAAAAGAAGGAATGATTTTCTTAGAAGAACAGGCAAGCTAATGAATGGTGGCCAAAGCAATATTGTCCAACTGCTGAGGAAGTCCGGCTTAGGGTGAAAAGCACATTATTCCCGTAGCTATGCAGAAGACGTTACTTCAGTAACGTCTGGCGCTAGCCAGGGTCCACACAGCTTTAATTTGGTATTTGTGTGTTTGTGTGTTTGTTTGTTTGTGTCACGCCTGGCGCTATCCGTATCTGACGGCAAAAAAGCATAGGATGTTATAAATTTTTCAATTCTCCTATTTTTTTCAGGCATATCCTGGGATTCGAACCCGCACTATCGCCCTACATGCATTCCCCCATACACTTTGCATTCATACCCATTCTTCCAAGTTGCAGCGCGTTATTATCTTGCGTTCGAAAGCCCTATTTGAATATTGCGGGCAGCTGTATGTGGCCAGCTGTGTTTGATGGTACGGTACGGTACGGGAGACGGTGTCGTATTACCCTCGATCGTACCTGTCCCGTACCTATCCCCTACCGTACCGTGCCATCAAAGACGGCTAGCCACAATGCATATTCAAATAGGGCTTTCAAATGCAAGATCACAATGTGAAACAACTTGGAAGAATTAGTATGTATGCGAAGTGTATCGGTGTTAGCTTTATTTTACTTCACCATAGGTACAGGCATTGCTGCCTTCTTGCTGTGGATCATTAATGATGCCACAGCTCCTAGGCTATGATGAAAAACGAGAGAGCTTGGAAGCTCAGGGCCCTACGCTATGCTTTTTTTGCCTTGATGACCTAGACAAAAAAAAAGCATAGGGATGTTCTTTTAAAAAATTCTTTTTTTAAGACATAACCTGGGATTCGAACCCGCACTATCGCGCGCCCTGCATGCATCCCCCGATACACTTCGCATACATTTGTTTGTTTGTGTCACGCCTGGCGCTATCCCTATCTACCGGCAAAAAAAGCATAGGATGTTATAAATTTTTCAATTCTCCTATTATTTTTTTCAGGCATATCCTGGGATTCGAACCCGCACTATCGCCCTACATGCATTCCCCCATACACTTTGCATTCATACCCATTCTTCCAAGTTGTTTCACATTGTGATCTTGCATTTGAAAGCCCTATTTGAATATGCATTGTGGCCAGCCGTCTTTGATGGCACGGTACGGTAGGGGATAGGTACGGGACAGGTACGATCGAGGGTAATACGACACCGTCTCCCGTACCGTACCGTACCATCAAGCACAGCTGGCCACATACAGCTGCCCGCAATATTCAAATAGGGCTTTCAAACGCAAGATAATAACGTGAAGCAACTTGGAAGAATGGGTATGAATGCGAAGTGTATGGGGGAATGCATGTAGGGCGATAGTGCGGGTTCGAATCCCAGGATATGCCTGAAAAAAATAATAGGAGAATTGAAAAAATTATAACATCCTATGCTTTTTTGCCGTCAGATACGGATAGCGCCAGGCATGACACAAACACACAAACAAATACCAAATTAAAGCTGTGTGGACCCTGGCTAGCGCCAGACGTTACTGAAGTAACGTCTTCTGCATAGTTACGGGAATAAAAATAGATTGTGGTGTAGCAGTTGGTACATCTAAAAGGAACTGTCCGAGACCAGTATCAATATGGTGTGCATGTCAAAGCTTCACACAGTTTGTCTACAAAACAAGGTATTGCAGGCAGAGATGTGAAAACTACACACAGAACATTACCATGCAAAACAGCAGACAATGCACCTCAGCTCCCAGTTGAAACAACCGCATGCACGATCAGCACGCCTACAAATATGCACATTGGAGGGTAAACCACCAAGTTACAACGACAATGTCAGACTCTGCCGATGCTAGCCCTGCCAGCTGCTTGCACATAACCAGCTCCACCACCACCAACCATGCCTCTCTTGTCATCAAAACTGTGATCAGCCCATTAACCTCGTTCAGCATTGACTGACTACCAAGCCCATTAAAAATGACAGAATTCGTGGCAGAATCAATTTCATATCGATTCCGAATCTTAACACAGTGTGCTATTAACTTTATGTGTGTATATGTGTGTACTGTGTTTGCGTGTGTAAGTTTGTGTGTGTGTGTATATGTGTGTGTATGTATATGTGTGTGTGTGTGTGTGTGTGTACTGTGTGTATGTATGTATGTGTGTGTGTGTGTGTGTGTGTGTGTGTGTGTGTGTGTGTGTGTGTGTGTGTTCGTGTGTGTGTGTGTGTGTGTGTTGTTGTTGGTGAGTTCTTTTCCATCAATATGGCAGCTTGTTTTGATTTCCTTCTTTTTTCAATTCATCCTGCTGTACCGCCCTGTTTTGTTTTGCGCCACTGCCCCTCGCCTTGCGCTCAGTTCTCTGAGTGGAGGGCGGCGTGACCCCACTGGGGTAGCTGATTGATAGTAGTAGCAGTAGTGTGTGTGTGTGTGTGTGTGCGTGTGTGTGTGTGTGTGTGTGTGTGTGTGTGTGTGTGTGTGTGTGTGCGTGTGCGTGTGTGTGTGTGTGCGTGTGTGTGTGTGTGTATGTTTGTGTGTGCATGTATGTTTGTGTGTATGTGTGTGTGGGGGGGGGGGGTACTTGTTGGTAATCTAGAACCGACGGTGTTCCAGAGATACAAATTACATGTATATTACTGTACATACATACCTGTGCAATTCGGAAGAGGTGTCCACATTCTATTACCCTGACATGTTATTGTGTCAATGGAACTCATACTAGTATCCACAGTAAAGCCGGCACGACATGAAATTCCCAGAACAGTTCCAGAGGCATTGGAGAATGTAGCATTGAAATCATAACCACGAGAGGGATCGAACAGGGGACAGGGTGCTGAAATCACAAGAATGAGAATTGTTCACTTTGTATTGGCTTCAGAAGAAAGGTACTTAAGCCAGTAAGCAGGACTACCTCAAAACCAACGTTTGATCAGAGGGATTTTCAAATATATGGGATGAAGTGTTGCTGAGGCTTCTCTTTGTCATTGAAATCACAGAGCAGAATTATCTCACTCTGTTCCTCTGCCCCTTTGGGTGCTAAAATTGCATAACCAAAATAAATCTGATTTAGCTCAATTGACTATACACAAAGTGTACCCTTACCATACACTGCACACTTCTATTTTCATTATTCTATTGGCTTGGAGAGACTCCCATCATAGGTATCCGTTTTCCTCGGGAGAGTCCGTACATAAATGTAATTGAAATTAAACTAATTTGTGGCACTCAGGGTATCAGTGCTACCAAGAGTACATAAACCAGAGTGTGCAACTCAGGATGGTTCCTGTGGGAGCGTAATTCGTGCACTACGTCATTTCTGACGGCATGGTAAGCCACAGGTACGGTGAAAAGTAACGTTAGTTGCGTAACCAGTCGCGGTGGTGCAGTTCATTGAGTTTGTCCTGATTTCGGTTTTTTGAGACGGATAGCCTGGTGACCTTACTTGTCGGTGGATGTACACAGTCACACAAAACACCGAAATCCTGAAACAGGACGTCTAAAATCAAGCAAACTTGGCTGATTTCCGGGCTATGAAACATGAAAATTTGAGCTGTACGCAAGTCGCGGCTTGGCTGATCTCATCAGGGTGACGTAGTGCACGAACTGCGCTGTTTCAGATCTGATATGCACAGTTGCACACTCTGGTTTATGTACTCTTGGTGCTACTGTAGTATCCCTGCCCGACCAATACGGAAGCAGTACGGAACTAATACGGAGCTTGCCTGATGTATATTTAGTGTATCTCCGTATGTAAGCGTACGTCGTCTGCTGCATAAAAGCGGCTGCGCATTTCTGTTTTGATGAACATTAGATTAGATTAGATTGGATAGCAATGAAAGCTAACTCGAAGAATAAGGATTCAACCTCTAGGTGAGCACCGGAGAGAAAGTTATTTATTTTGCCGCTTCTTCTTTCACTAACGATTATATCTCAGGTGTGTACCTGAAAGTAGAATAAAAGTAATTGTTGTTGATTTCACCGCGCCTACCACTCGGCTGCCGTTACATTGGTGGCAGCGGTGTGTTTTTGTAAAATAAAACAACGTGATTCGACCCCAGACCCCCATGGCTCAACCCGCTGCAGCTCCGTGCGACGAATCAAGATGAGAATCGTGTTTCATGCTTTCCTGGGCCTGGCCATGCTTATTAGCCTGCAGCACAGTCAGGGTGCTAACGTGGATCACCATTCTTTCCGCACGGCATCCATTGGAGACTCCGATGGCGATTCCAAGCAACCCGCTACCTACATGTATACTACCGGTGGTGATTGCGAAGCTGATGAGGACGACGACATGCAGGATGCTGACCAAGACAAGGAGGGTATTCCCCAAGACCAGCAGCGTTTGATTTTCGCCGGCACGCAGTTGGCAGACGGCCGAACCCTGAGTGACTACAACGTTCAGCAGGAGTCCACTATTCACTTGGTACTTCGTCTCCGTGGTGGAATGCAGAATTTCGTCAACACTCTTCCTGGCTAGACCATCACTCTTTACGTCGCGCAAAGCGATGCTATCGACAATGTGAAGTCCATGATTCAAGACGAGGAGGGAGTGATCTGTCTGACGCCGAGCTAGCCGCTCTGAGTGACCGGCCCAACCAAGATAAAGATAAAACCTGGCTCGCCCTCCGCCAATACTGGCCATAGCTCCAGCCGCCGCCGTGGTTACTAACGCTGATTCCAGGTATGGCATTTTCTTTCCTGTCTTCCTTCAGTCTCCCTGTTCTCTTAAGTCTTCCTTTATGCGAGTGTGTGAATCCAGTTTAGTTTGGTAGGCGTCTGATCATGGTGAGCCACGGCTTACCCAGCTAACGTGGGACAATGTGTGTGACAACGCCCCTTATAGTTATAGTGTATTCAGTTCGGTTTTTGAACTGCGATGTTCCTGGCGGCTTGTGCCAGCGTTGTGCAGCAAGAGTGCTGTGGATTTTCAGGTCCTATTTGGAGAACAGTTCTTTCCCCTTTTGACCCCGTGAGATCGTGTGAACCTGGTGTGCTTCTACTTTATGATTTGTTATCAGTTCATTTCTTCTGTCTACTCTAAACGTTATCATTTCCGATATAATTTGCCATCTTCCGGTTGACGCTGTGTTCGTAACTCATCACTAATTTTTTGAAAACCACGAGGGCGTGATAATCTGTAGGAAGGGAGGGTGTAGTATCCCTGCCCGACCAATACGGAAGCAGTACGGAACTAATACGGAGCTTGCCTGATGTATATTTAGTGTATCTCCGTATGTAAGCGTACGTCGTCTGCTGCATAAAAGCGGCTGCGCATTTCTGTTTTGATGAACATTAGATTAGATTAGATTGGATAGCAATGAAAGCTAACTCGAAGAATAAGGATTCAACCTCTAGGTGAGCACCGGAGAGAAAGTTATTTATTTTGCCGCTTCTTCTTTCACTAACGATTATATCTCAGGTGTGTACCTGAAAGTAGAACGAGAGAGCTTGGAAGCTCAGGGCCCTACGCTATGCTTTTATGCTTTTTTGCCTAGCTCATCGTACATGTTATAAGAACTGATGGAATTGTCTTTTTCCGTTCATTGGCGTATTGCAAAAACCTTTCAATCGGTTTGAATATTATGAGTCAGGCAAAAGTATTTGGAGAATTTATTGCGGATTGTTGTTTCTCTAATAATCATCTACTTTTGTTTTGCTCCTTTAATTTTTATCTCCTTATATTGTAAATCAACAAATTTTGGCCGATGAGAAAATCAGAAACCTCTCGATTAGAGAGGTTAAGATGCACGTTATTTCCGACGTGACGCGCAGTTTCACGTCAAATTTGAAATCGATCGGTATTTTTGCTCTCACATGCATCCATTGCTCAATAATGCATCAATTTCCTATATGACAAACTTTGGCTGGTGATTTACTTTGGCCGGTTGGTACCAAGCGGCGAAATCAGCGAAATGAAATCGCCAGCGAACATTAGTTGATTTTAATACAGGAATCGGATTTTCTGGCCTTTTTGTAGTAATACATCTACATTGACCTGTTGAGCCAATGACGACGCCGAATGCATGGTTGCCTGTGGAGCACATTACATAAGTTTACAGTCTCCTAAAATACGTATCCTGTCCGACGGCAAAAGAGGCTGCAGATTTAGTTTTTCTGCGCGTCGACGGGATGTCTGCGACGCGAAAGTTCAGCTCGCGTTATTTGGCTCGCACGCCGAAAAAATCAACGCGAGTGACCTGCTGCTCACGTGGAAATTTGGACATTACATAACTTTACAGTCTCCTATATAAATACGTATCCTGTTCGACGGCAAAAGAGGCTGCAGATTTAGTTTTTCTGCGCGTCGACGGGATGTCTGTCCTGACGTTTACTGGGACCGGCGCTGACTCTGCCGATCACGGGCGTTCTGGACTCGACGGGATGTCTGTCCTGACGTTTCCTGGGACCGGCTTAGACTCTGCCGATCACGGGCGTTCTGGAGTCGACGGGATCTCTCTTCCGACGTTTCCTGTGACCGGCACTGAATCGCCCGTTCACGCTTTGTTTGGAGACGACGGGATCTCTCTTCCAAAGTATGTTTATGCTGACGCATCCTATCACCTAATCGGCGTCTATTCTAATTTAATTTCCTCCTCGTCTCCCTATTTCTTTCCAAATCCCACTCTACAGCAGGGAGTCGTATGCATAATACAACGAATATTGGTACGGTACGGGACAGATACAGGAGCCCGCAAATATTGTGGACAGCTGTTATGTACAATCCTGTAGAGCCTTTGTAGTCACAGATACGGGACAGATACGGGACAGATACGGGATAGCGCCAGGCGTGACACAAACAAACAAACAAACAAACACACAAACAAACAAATACCAAATTAAAGCTGTGTGGACCCTGGCTAGCGCCAGACGTTACTGAAGTAACGTCTTCTGCATAGCTACGGGAATAAAAGTAATTATTGTTGTTGATTTCACCGCGCCTACCACTCGGCTACCCATTACACTACCAAGAGTACATAACCCCAAGAGTGTGCAACTCCAGCTATGGGGTCTGCGACGGCAGAACTTCACATCACGTGATGAACCTGTACACATTATTTGCACTCTGTGCATGATAGATACAGGGTTGTACGCAGCCCAGCTTTGGGTACAACTCTCTTGTGGTCACTTTGCACTGTTTGCCAGCATAACCTTTGAACCATGTCACGTGATGTGAAGTTCTGCCGTCGCAGCACAGCATAGAGGTTGTGCAGGCAGTTGCACACTCTTGGGGTTATGTACTCTTGGTGCTACATGTAGGGATGCAGCAGATGTGGTGTGAGTGGAGAGTTGGGAGCGTAAAGTGTAGAATCAGCTGGGTCATGATCATGACTAAACATGACAGCAAGAGTATATAACTCCCCAAGAGTGTGCACCTGTGCGTATGGGGTCTCCGACGGCGAAAACTCACATCACATGTCTAAGGAACGTTCATACTACGTACCAACGAAGGATAGCATGCGCGCAACCCGAACATCATGCTGTGTTTGCATACGCGCAGTAAGTTTATGTCGCATTGAGTGCTTTTTTTATTACTCCGCTGCTCGGAATTTCATGTTATCAACTGGTCTCGTCATCGTCCTGTAACGGTCGGCATTCTTTATTGCCGCAGGACTTAGCTTGTGCACATTTTCGTTGCGCTCAAATTCAGGGCTCACAGTCACAGCATCACACAAAAGCGTGGGCGCCATTTTGGACAGGCCGCTGTCACACGAGCCAGCCAGCATGCCAGAATTGTGTACATCCGATCAGGCAGATATCTCTGAAAACTTGAAAGTGGGGTACCCCCCGGGTGCATTCAAAATGTTCATTTGTACCAATGCTTTTGCCTAGGCC